CAGCTTTGAAAGGGTAAATGAAAGAAGTACTGAGAATCCTACACGTAATCTGACGTCACTGGCTTTGGGAAGTTTGACAAGACACTGAGAATCCCACACGTAATCTGATGTCACTGGCTTTGGGAAGTTTGACAAGAACTAAAAGCAATCAAAAGGAAGGAACCACTTGCTAAACCTTCATGCTGCTTTATCTAAGTTCCTTAAGGCCACTCAACAGCAGGACCCACAAACAACATATGCAATGATTCCAGACCTTTAGGAAAGTGTTATGGTTCACGTAGTGGGGTTACTTTACAACTGTAACACAAATAAGGAAATAATTTGGTTCAACTTCATGAACACACCATGTGTGGCAAAAAATAAATCGCAGAGCAGTGACTGGTTTTATCACATCAAACCTTAAATTCTATAAACATTCTTTTTCCTCTCCTACACAATGTCTACTACAGCCTTTTCAAGTGCCAAGGTGTTAACCCTGAATTTCAGTTTACCAAAACTGTAATATTTCAACAGTGTTAGCATATCCTACCCAAGTGTTACTTGGAGAGGCATTTAAGAAACAGAACTGAGCACTTAATAACTAACATTCTTGCTATATGTCATGTCACAAACATCTATAAAATGTTCTTCAGTGTCTACATGATTGATAATGAAGTATCAAGTGTTTTGAGCTTTAGTTTAGCTCCTTAGCTCTCCCACAATGTGAACACTGGTGCACTAAGTAACACGAAGAAGAAAAACTTCTGCTAATCTAGGAGTAATTTTAACTTGTTCCTGACATCTGCATTAATGGGCAATGCAGTAAACTCACGTGGCTAACAAGATGCTGTCTTCAGTTGGTTGTGATACACAATTCCCTAGGCAATAGCTTATGTCACCTGCCCCTCTACATAACATCCATACCTATTGCCTTGTTACCCTACTTGCATTATAGATGGATATGATCAAGAGCACTCACTGTAAACTTGTCCTCCCTTTTCTTTCGGTAGCCATACGAGTTTTTCCTAAGGGAAAGAAAGCAGATATCAGAGCATTGCCTATAAATGGAAGGTAGCTAATGAAAACAGGAGAAATGAATTAAAATTGCTATTTCATACATCTTCATTCTAGACAGGTTATTAAAAAATGTTTTAG